TACTCATCCTTCTCCTGGAAGAAACCAGCCTTCCACGTATGAGATAATCCCATTGATGTGGGGAGGGAATGAGTAACAGACTAGTATAAAGGCTTATGTATGTCAGCAAATGCATGATTGGTGAAAATGTTCAGCAGTGAACACTCTCTACTCAATCATTTCCATTTTTTGACTTTTGTAAAAATATTCTGAAATGGCCAAATTCTTAGACATTACCCACCTCCACTACTTAGTAACTCTGTGTTTGTAATCCAAATCTTACCTCACATTTATGGTGTGCAACACATATAGATACATTTACAGTTGTCACCTACTGGTCCGCTGTCACAGTAAAGACCAAGTCAAATAGAAAAGAAAAATCAAAACTTGGACTTGAGGGAGCCATGTTAGTTGTTTGTATAGAACATGAGCAAAGTTGTCAAAAGCACCTAAGTCTCATTTTCAAAAGTGACTGAGGGCTAGATCCACAAAGGGATATGAAGTTGCAATGCTGAGCACTGCAGTGTCTAACTCCTAGGTACCTAGACGCAGCAGAATCCCCACCTCCACCTGAGGCACCCAAGTTTCCATACAATAAACGGAGAGTTCTCTGGAATCTTCAGACACCAGAAAGCTGTTTTGGAAGCTGGCTATGGGCCTAAGAGAAAAGAGCTCTGCAGCAGGGGATCTAGATGCCCAGAGCACCCTGGATCTTGCTGGAATTTTCAAGGCATCCAGATTCCTTGGTTCAGGTCCAGGGATCCTAGCTCAGTGGCAGAGACCTTAGCAGCTCTGAAAGCACCCAGGCTTTCCAGTGCTATGTGCTGCAGAGTTTGGAGCCAAGCAGTGACTGTGTAACCCTCTGGTTAGGGCACTCATGTGAGAGATGTTTGGCAGCACAGGTATTTGCAGTTGGGTCTCACACATCCCAGTTGAGTGCCTGCTCTAACCACTAGATCAGAACACACACATCTGTCTTTTGTGTGGTGCCTGACTCTGTAGGTATGCTCAGCTATCGCCCTAATGAGACAAAGCATTTCCACTAGTAGTATTTGCAAAAACCACCTAAGCACTGCGTGAATCATGGACCTACCCCAGGGATGGGGAACATTTTTTTGGGTCGGAGCTGCTGACCCACAGAAAAAAATCAGTCAGAGGCCACACATAAGTGAGAAGCAAAAGAAAAAACCCCAAACCTTCACTGACATGGCCCCTGACTAAGAAGGAAAAGGACACTTCCTACATTCCCCTCACACACCAGAGCTTAGGGGTACCTGGGCTACTAGATTTTGTGTGCTGCAGCCCTGTGGTGGGATGGGGGGAGAGGGGCTTGAGTGCCAGTGCAGGCTCCCTAATGCTGGAAGGGGGGGGGGTGGATCCAGGAAAACTAGGGACCGCATCTGGCCCCCCCAGGCTTTAGGTTCCCCATCCCTGACCTAGCCCTTGGGAACTAAGTTACACTAAGTCTCTATAGGTACATCTAGACTACATGCCTCTAGCAACAGAGGCATGTAGATTAGGCTACCAGACATAGTAAAATGAAGCGGTGATTTAAATAATCGCTGACAAACAGCTGATCAGCTGTTTGTCGGCTCAGTGCGATAGTCTGGATGCACGGGTGTCGACATCAAAAGTATTTGTCGATCACCCAGGTAAGCCTCCTGGGATGAGGTTTACCTGGGTGGTCGACAAATACCTTTGATGTTGACACCCACGCGTCCAGACTATCGCACTGAGCCGACAAACAGCTGATCAGCTGTTTGTCAGCTCAGCGCGGCAGCCATGTAAATTTAAATGAAGCGGCGATTATTTAAAGCGCCACTTCATTTTCCTATGTCTGGTAGCCTAATCTACATGCCTCTGGTGACAGAGGCATGTAGTCTAGACGTACCCTATGACCCAGACATATAGGATCCTCAAAGATATTTAGGCACCTAACTCCCATTGATTTCTAGAAACTTACATACCTTTGAAGATCTGGGCCTAAGTTCCTAATTCTGGAAAATGAGAGACAGGCACTTTTTAACCCATTGTCAGTTTCTGCTTGGTTAGTAATAATTAAAACTTCAGCAAACAGACTTGAACTACAGTGTGCTAATTTCAACAGGAGGTCAACATCCTGAGGGGTTCTGGACTCATCTTTATATATAAAAAAGGTTTTCCTGCCAGGCGACAGAGTGACATTATCACACGCTCCGGCTGTTAAAGCCACCAGAGAGAGTGGGGGGGTACGTGAGCATAGCAAGCACGGGGCACAGCCCACTAGTATTTTTTAAAACCAGTAGAATATTATTTTTGAAAACTGTTGTTAGACACTAAAAAACTCCTTATTTTACCTCATAGTTCCGTGTTCACAGGGAGTTTGCATTTTACACAGATATAATTCAGACTTTGTTAGAACTATTTCCAAAATTAACTAATAGCAGTTTGACTACACCCTAGCATTCAAGAGTATTCTGGTTGGCAAAATCCCTGATCAAGTGAATGAATAATTGAGAAAATACTTACCATTACTATAGTTACTGATGATAGGTCTCCCTGTTACTGACACAAGGAGAAACCAGACAACAGAGGAGACTCTAGCCTAGTGTGAAAATATCAGAAGTGTTCTCACTTCTCTTTTATAATACCTGTTATAATGCTGTAACTGTGCATTTGTATCCTTAGATGACTAACATTTTAATTACATAATCCCCTCTCTCAAGCCTTAGAAAAGGGCTGCGTCTAGACTGCCATGATTCTGTGGAAATATTTTTAGCAGACATGTTTTTCCATTAGAAGTATTTCCGCAAAAGCGCGTCTAGATTGGCACGGATGCTTTTGTGCAAAAGCATCTGTGGCCAGTCTAGATGCGATTTTGCGCAAGAAAGCCCCGATCGCCGTTTTAGCCATCGGGGCTTTTTTGCGCAAAACAGTTCTTCCCTGTCTACACTGGCCCTCTTGAGCAAGTATTCTTGTGCAAGAGGGCTTTTTCCCGAGCGGGAGTGTGAAAGTAGTTGTGCAAGAAGCACTGATTTTGTACATTACAAAGTCAGTGTTCTTGCACAAATTCAAGCAGCCAGTGTAGACAGCGGGCAAGTTTTTGTGCAAAAGCATTTGCTTTTGCGCAAAATCTTGCCAGTCTAGATGCACCCAAGCTGTTTAAACCAACCCCACCTGTAAACAAAGGAGGAAATTAGCCTCTCAAAAGCACACTGCAGCTTCTTGATGCCAAAGCTTTAATGTCCCTGCATGCACAGCATTCCCATTGAGGGGCCCATCCCATATAAGGAGAGTAGAATACCAGATCTGAGCGTCACTGTGCTATTCAAAGGAGGAACTTGCTAGGTGCAGTAGCTACCAGTTCTAGAATACCACTATTCTAGGAAATGTTAAGCACCTAGGACAATGAAGTTTGTCAGTTTTTGCATTGCCCTCATTTTGAAAAAAAATGTTTTTAATTGAAAAATTTCAGGATCTGTGATTCTGAGCACTTCAGAGCTGAGCACTCAACACTTCTGCTGTAGCCCTTGGAATGGCAGGTGATTAACATCTGAGGGTCAAGGATGAAGTCCTGGTCTCCCCCACTGATGTCAATGGCAAAATTTATATTTAAAATAACATCAGGATGTCACCTCAGGATTTCAGTCCAAAAGTGCATCCTTTTGTTTTTAGCACAATGGGTGAAACACAATTGTTGAACGTGGCTGCTTTCATAAACATCTAGCATTTCTCATTCTTGCTTCAACCCAAAGGAGCCACACTATTACTGTCCAGTACATCATACTTTCAGAGATTTTTTTATATACATTCACTCACCCACAGGGCCATAAAGTGGATCAGAGAATAGGCATCTTGCATTGAAATGCTATTTAAACTGTTGTGATTTCCACTCCTCTTTTAAAATGGCTGTTTGGCTGTCTAAGACACAAGGGGTATGTGCTACGGCCCAGTAATTTGGACTGGGTGGACAGAGGACTCCACAGGAGAGAGGTGGGTATTTGTGAGTGGAGAAGCAAGAGAGGGACAGGCAGATACCACTGGGCAGCACAATCCTAAAAAAAGCTTAAGCAGAGAGCTTTTGGGGGGAAGAGGGGGTTTCCTGGCTGAAATAAGTTTTAATGGTAAAAGCAGGGATGCAGTTGCTCTTGTGTTCAGGGAAATAAAATTTTGTATGTTGTTTGTAGACAAAGATTGCATCAAAGTTACCAGACTCCCTCAAAAAATGTTCCTCCCAAATGCAACACTGCACAGAGCCTTGAACTTTGATTAACTGCTGAGATCAAAAGCACTAACAATATTATACATGAGTGATCACCAACCAGTAGACCGGGATCTACCAGTAGATCTTGAAGCCTCTGACAGGAGATCCTGACTGGTTTGGCCAGGAAGCTATCAAGTGCTGGCACTTCAGTTGCCCCTACACCCACTGTCCTGCTGCTCCTGCGCTCAGGATTCAGGGAGGAAGGGGGATGGAATGAGTAAGGTGAGGCCTTGGAGAAGAGGTGGAGCAGGGGTGGGGCCTCAGAGAAGGGGGAGAAGGAAGCCAGGCAAGGCTATTTGGGTTTGAGGTAGCTCTTACTTTGCACTTAAATTGAAAAAGTGATCTTGTGGTTAAAAAAGTTGGGAGACCACTGTTATACATAATATCTGTAGCCCTAGGATACTTTCCAGGTATCAATACGAATTTTGACTAAATAGCATATAACCCTTAAAGCCCACTAGTATATGACTCACTTGGGGAACTAGAGCATCCTGCCTCCCAAAGCTGCGTGTTTTATTTAGTTGCCTAGATAGAGGGTGAATTGCATGCATAAAACTCCTTTTAAGAATAACTTAGATGATAAGTATATACTATCTCACCTTGCTATGCACTGTATGTCACAGTCTTAAAGTGTGTGTTAATAACGCTATTGTGTTGTGCATATTACAGAGGCATGAGAGGTTTAATGGTACATACCATATACATTTAATATAGTGTAGCTGAAAATGTATCTGTAATCCCTTACTAAAGATCGCATTTTTTCTTTGTTTAATTACAGCCTGCAAGCCATTTTCCAGCATCATCATCTACAGATATTTCTTTTTCTGATGATACTCAACCTCCATCTCAATCCAGCTCAAGCTATGGTCTCCCACCCAATGCCCCACCACTATACACACCAACTTACTTCTTGCCAGAAGAAAAACCTCCACCATATGCACCCTAGAACTCATTTCATTTTAACAGATTTTTTTTTAAAAAGACATCTTTGGAAACTGAGCTGCACAAGCAGCAGATTATTTTGTGTTCTATGACTGTTCTACTTTTAGCCCCAACTCACTGTGAGTTGACCAGAATCTTAGAAACCTAAGGCAGATGTGTCACCAAAGGAAGGTATCAGTCACACTACACAGTTTGCTTGTAGTCAGTTGGGACACTGCTTTCTGGCTAATGAGCATTGTTTTCTCTTAGCATAATAGATAGTGACTTTGTTTTCATTAGAAGAAACAAAGAAAAACACTTTGGATACTTGGTTTCATTTTGTTGAATAAGCATTGAGTGGTAATTCTGAGTTAGAACTCTCATAGTCTGGTTGGTGCAAGTGAGTAGTCTGGATAAAAAGAAACCAGATATTCTTTCTTTTATACTAGTCAGTAAATAGCCCCCTTTTGGTAAAAATGTTACAATAAATACTGTGACAACTATATGACAAAATATGCTGTGTTTGTGTATTATACTGTACTTAAGTCGGTGTACACATCACAAGAAAGGGAAACAAAATTAAGAAGTAAAGATCCCAATTAGTATTATCCTATTCTTAAAAATAAGGTACAAATGTAACATTTTATTTGAACAGGGCTGTTTCAATTCTGTTTGAAATGTTTGAATTATGTACCAGTCCAGCTAACGCTAACAATGACCAAATACCAGTGAGCTAAAGATGCAATTTCTAGCTAAGTATTTAACCTGTATATAATGATTAGTTAATACTGAACTCTGTATTTTGCCATATTCTGTAAAAGGCAGAGGAGCTGGTTTCAAATGATTCCTTTTCTAGTAAAAAATGGAAACTAAAATGCTGCATATTGAGCTAAATTGTTTTTACATAAAAAGAGACTTGGCCCATAGTTTTGAAGCTGTTGCAATGCATTGGTGAATGCTCAGAGTATTTCTTTTTTTTTTCTTCTTCTTCCAATCTAGACTCCCACTATAGAGAATTTACATATACTAACTCCTGTGGAAGTAGCATCCATAGGAAATATGTGATCTTGTACTCCCTCTACTGGAAAAGTAGCAATCTATAGTCTCAGCTCTGTGCAGCCACACTCAGTGATGAAAGTGCTTAAACTAGGACGAAAAAGATAATTAATGAATTTCTGAGTTGCTAATTCCTTTTGCAGCACCGTTGGGGCCTCAATGTTCTTTGGCACACCAGGGCTATGAGACAGCACAGGCAATGTACTTTGATGTCTCATAGACCTAGTCCATTGGGCAGCAAATCATCCTAGTGCCACATTAGAAACTTTAAAAAATGTTTCCCAACAGTCAAAGTGCAAAATGGAAAGGAGGATATATTTCATCCTTAAACAGCTATTACAGTAAAAATATATAAAATATATTAAAATACTAGATTACTTTCCTTCAAAGGATGTGAACATTTGAATAGCTGAAATCACAGCAAAAGAGTATAAAATTATGTAGTAAGTTTCCATCCAATGAGTTTTCTATTGATGTACAAAAAAATTATTCAATATAAAATATGAAAGGCTATTCAAAATGCAGCAGAGAAACCTACCTATGAGTTTAGAATGGTTTCTTAAATGAATTAGGTCTAGCCCATTGAAGAAGGCCCAGGGAGATAATTTGCATAAGTAAGAAGCACTCTTAAGTTATAAAAGGCAGAGAGAAGGGTACGTTATTTTCAAAGCACATGAGCTAGTGATTTTCCTTTATTGTAAGTGCTTAGATTTCCATGACTGTATAATATAAAGACAACAAACAGATTGGTTCCCCAGGCACAAAACAAACAACACATATACCAAGTTTTGCATAATGTGAATTTTGGCTGGTTAGAAGCATAAAAGGCACATGGTGTGAACACTAATAGTTTTAGAATGGCCTGACACTATTAACTTCAGAGGCTCACTTCCTTACATGAACTGCTCCAAAAGGGCAGGAGGTGGCGAGGATGGAGATTTCACTTTTTCTGTACAATTTATTGAGGAAGAAGGACCGTGTCGTACTCTAATTTCTCACTCTTGTCAGTTAGAAAACAAAACTGTGCGGAAGAAACCACTAAATCATCACTCTCACCTTTCTCCCACCCCACCCCAGTCTGAGCACTGCTGTATAGTATTACAGATGTCACTGATTTAGCAATAATACACATTACTATATTCTACATATTTTTATACTGTAAATCATAACATTTTGTTCACACAAAGCAACAAATAAAATCTTTACACACACAAGTAATTAAAGCAATTTTTGCATCAAAATAAGGTATTACCCATGTATGTCAATTATTTCAATTAACTTTTTAAAGCATAGCCCACTGTTATATTTGTTTTCACATAATATTGAGCGTGGAATTGCACAGCATCACCTCATACCACAAAATTCGTATTTCCAGGATCCAGGATAGTTCTGGCGCTATAAATATAACAACTGGCATTAACAAAGGTCACAGTTTTGTGAATCACTGATGCCACAAAGCCATTGCTTTGGGAAGTATTGCAAAAATAATATAAATGCTAGAGGTGAAGCTATTTTGTTAGCAGGTGCTTTCTGAAAAGAACAGCAATTAAACTGGGTTTTGTTCCTCCAATTAATAAGAAGTGTCAGATGTCTTCCAAGCGTGTACTGTTTTCTTTAGAGTTACTCCAGGTTGGAAGGATGGGAGATGGATGTAGGAAAAGACCTGAAATGACCAGAAAAACAATACAATAGAGAATCACCATAGGCCACAATACCTGTAGCCCTCCCCGATAAGGCTGGCAATGAGAAACTCCAGTAAAACATTTCCTAGGTCCTACTCATGTCACCAGTGTTTCCATCAACATCTCCTGCCTAAAAGAAGTGGTATCTGCAGTACTTGGATTTCCCGCCCCCGTATTCCTCGAAGGTAAGACAAATGAAATTATTACTCGTATACACAACCTGTTTACCTTCCTCCTGTAAGGTTGTCCCCTTTTTATTTTCTTTCCTTTGGAACTTTTATCTGGTACCCTTGGAATGTGCATGAACATCTTCCTTTTGTCCTCCTTTAAAGCACAAAAGGCTTGATGCCTGACTGAAGCTACAGACCTGACCTTTTCGGTCTTGCTGCATCACCCTTAACTGTCTGGCCCTAGAAATCAGTCAATATTGTTGCAATATTTAGTGGCTAAGTATAAGTTGCTATATCCGTCTTCCAATCACATTTGGCAGTAAGGATTTTTTTCCCATGGGATGCTCTATCCAGTTGCCCATCCTTTTCCTGGGGAAAAATTCATTTGGGTAATTTGGCTACAATTGTGGGAAAATCTGGAGTTTATTAAGGTATCTGATAACTGTCTCTAGCCTTGACTAGGTGTAATATTCCATAGAAGTGGTAGAAAATACCTATAGGCTGCATCTAGACTGGCATGATTTTGCAGAAATACTTTTAACGGAAACGTTTTTCCGTTAAAAGTATTTCTGCAAAAGAGCGTCTAGATTGGCACGGATGCTTTTGTGCAAAAGCATCCGTGGCCAGTATAGACGCGCTTTTGTGCAAGAAAGTGCCGATGGCCATTTTAGCCATCGGGCTTTCTTGCGCAAGAAATTAAAGTGCCTGTCTACGCTGGCCCTCTTGCACCCTGTCTACGCTGGCCCTCTTGCAATGCCTGAGTGGGAGCGTGAAAGTATTTGCACAAGAAGCACTGATTTTGTACATTACAAAGTCAGTGCTCTTGCGCAAATTCAAGTGGCCAGTGTAGACAGGCGGCAAGTTTTTTTTTGCCAGGCTAGACGCACCCATACTGTTTAGTAAACTTGGGTCTGCTCCATACTGATCCTTGCAAGCCCCAAAAATCATTCTTCTAACTCTCTTTCTAAAATAATTTGTTACCTAAGGAATCTAGAGTTTATTTAAAAATATCCCTAAATAAAAATAAAATCTCAAATCAAAACACTGGTATACTCATTGCTATTTGCACTATGAATATAATTCTAGCTGTACTCCAAGACAGAATTCAGACATTTTATAGATGAGGCTAACTATAACTATATATAAATATCAGCTAACTGCTGACTGCTTTCAAGTGTCTACAGTAATTCCCATCATCCTTGTCCCTCATGCTTGTATCCCCTCTAGAGGTTGACAATAGCTGTCAGTGAGTAGGCAAAACAGACACAAAAATTTGCAGAGCCACTGTGCAGCAGTGAGAAAGATAGCTTGATCGGCCTAAAACAGCTTTGGCAAAGTCTATTGTGTCTATCCTGAAAAGCCCTAGTGAGTAAGCATGGAAATTAATACACTTTGCTCTGCTGTATCCTCTGGTGAATAAACTCAAACACATTCATCCTGGATAGCTCATACTTAATCAGAAAGCCTCAGGGCCCCCTGTCCTATTAAGCACATGGTGAGTGAGACAGCCTAAAAATTAAATAGCAAAAATTACATCTTTGCATGATATTCCCTGGTCTTCATACCTTTCACCACTTACCTCACTGATTACTGACATAAGACACTTTGGCATCTACCTGAGTGAGGCTTTCCTTTTATTTATTTCCTGCTTCTACATCAAGTTCTCCATTGACCAAGAGATTTTTCTAAAGGTTGCGACTGAGCCTGTTGATTCTGAAGATCATTTTACAAAACAAATCCTAAACCCACACCCATAGATCCTCCCCACCCCCATATATGTTCCCACTCCTACAACCTAAACATGAGCTCATGCTCTAATCTAGCACCTATTTGCAATTCTTCAGAGGCCAATGATCACACCAGTGAATGAAATACTAAAATGGTGTCGGCTCTGCAAATCATCCACAGCCTGAAGCCATATCCCCAAGAGACATAATCTCAGTGCAGTTAAGAAGTTTTATGTAAATATTTTATTCTTTCATATTTTGTAAATCAGAAAGCAGTGTTTGGTAATAAAAATAATACAGCGATATTATTTTTCTTCCAGTTCATACTGATATATTACTAGGTTTTCCACATTACAGCTATCCATCTCTCTTTTTACAGTCTTAACATTCACTTTACGAATAATATGCTGCTTTCGATTATTAATCTTAGTCTTATGAACTATTTACAAATATATTACAATCTCTAAATCTCAAAGCAAAGAAATATTTCAATAATCAATTTGACTTGTGAAGGTCAGTAGCTCCTAATAATTTCAGTGTTTAAAAGAAACTATACACATAGTGCAGGAAATCTGAATAATTTATATCTTTTTTTAAAAAGCGCAGAAAGTTTTTGAATATAAAACTTTTACATTGCATGGTGGTACCTATTGACCAGTCTCAGTTGGAGGGCAAGAATGTGATGTGATGTCATTGTGTTTGTAAAAAGCCTCATCTAAGTCCAGTGCTTTATTATTCATCTTCACGGTCATGCAGCCATGGTAGAATGCAGTGACTGGAGTGGAAGTAACAGGAACATCTGTATAAAAGAGAAGGAAATTGTTTTCTAATTTATTAGATTTCAATAGATCATCCATACCAAGTTTAGATCACTGGTTCTTGGATTAATTCAAATATTCAAAATCCATTCCCATTTCTTCTCCCACATTTTGCATCCTTCCATTTTAACCTCACGGTAAGCAAAATACAAGAACATTTTGTTTTGTATTTAGGGCCTTTTTTTGAAGGGACCTCATGTGAGCTCCCATTTCTGATCACACATACAGAGGTCACAGGCCAGATCCTCAGCTGGTGTAAATCAGCATAGTTCCGTTAGCTTCAATAGAGCTAAACTAGTTTATATCAGTTGACAGTCTGGTCCCACATTTTCAACATTAGACCCTCATTGCTTTTCCATAATGGATGTTAAATATTGGTTAATTGAATAGTCAAGTAACCTCATTAATTCTTATTGGTTACTTGACTATTCTATAGTCCCCAGGGGTGGGGCCGGCAGCCAGTGCGCTCTGGCCTCACTCCAGAGGAACCCCCTGCCACTCCTCACTGCTGCCTCTGATAAAAAGGCAGCAGCACAGGGTGGCAGCAGGCCCTGTCTAGGACGGGTCTGAGCGCCTGGACCCGGCATGAACTGGAAATGAGCCAGGCTGCCTGCCTGCCCACCCGGCTCCTAATATACTTTATAGGCAGCACTGCAGCGAGAGTAGGTCCCAGACCCGGCATAAGCAAGGACGGAGCCAGGCTGCTAAAAAATGTATTGGTGGGAGCTTTTGCGTATCGGTTAATCGACTACATTATCACATCCCTATTTTCCATTTCAATTTAGACTCAGACTTCAAAGCCAGAAGGGACCATCGTGATCATCTAGTCTGACCCCCTGCAAAACACAGGCCACAGAGCCTCACCCACCCACCCCTGTAA